TATTGTATAATATCATAGCTTACATGTATTTATTTGTGCATGTTTGTATGTAATGTTTAGGCCTGTTATATATGTGTATTTATATAAATGTGTATATAAGTCATATATACATATAATTTAAGTGCTAACAAAAATTAAAAAAAAGAGCAAAACACATAAGACAAAGGAATAAACACTATATTAAGTGTTCTAGCTTCTGTAAGTGTTCTACTGCTGTATCCACCATGATAGTTGATATAAAATAGTTTTAACAAAACAGGGCTCCCTTTGCTGGCCCTTTATACCAGATCAACTTTCCCTACACACTGCCATCTCTGTCCTCTACTGCTAAAATTATGTCACTTTCAAAATGACATATAAATATTTCCAAAAAGTTTTATACACACACAAGTATATACACAGAATACTGCTTTGTACATGTATATATAGAGTGAGATCTTAAATTTAGAAAAGTGATAAGGCCTTAAAAAGTAGACCAGGTAAACACATCACAACTGTACACCTCTAAAAATGGTTATAAGACAAACAAAAAGTTGATGCCTCTGTTATCCCTTTCAAGTCTCCCAAAATTTCCACAATTAATACAAACCAAACTATTTTTATTTTTTATTAATTTATTTTAAAAGATTTATGTTATTTATTTATGCATACAAGAGCTGAGGTGTAGACCAGAGGTATGAGGGAGGAGGGTTGAGAAGATTCACCAGAGACAGAGTCGGGAGCAGAACAGTCAAAGTGACTGAAATACACTGCTGAGGGGAGCAGCAGGTGAAACAGGAGAGGTCTGCTGTGCCATTTGGGTCAGCTCCCTGGCTTGGATCTAACTCATGCAGCAGTGGCTTCAGATTGCTTAAAAGTGCTGAGACTTAACCCCTTGCACCACCAGGGAGGGCCCCCAAACCAAACTTTTTTTAAAAAATTTATTCATTTATGCATACAGAACTCAAGTACAAGCCAGAGGTGCAGGGGTGGTGACAGGATTCCCCAGAGACAGAGTGGGGAGTAGAACAGCCATACTTACTCAATACACTGCTGAGCGGAATAGCGTGTGAGTCAGGTCTGCCACGCCATGTGGGTCACCTCCGGGGTAGGGATCAAACTCATGCTGAAGTGGCTTTAGCTTCTTAGTGCTGTGCTTTAACCAGCTGCGCCCCCAGGGAGGGCCAAACCAAACTATTTGTAAAGGCTAGGGCTCTCTTGTTCTTTTTAGCCTTTCAACAATAATCCTGCACCCCAATATTTTCAGTTGGTCACTAGGAGGCTGGAATCTTAGCACCCTGAGCTCTAAAGTAAGGCCTGCAAAATTGTTCAATATATATAGTTTAAAAAAAATGCTGAAATTCTGGGCCTCCCTGGTGGTCCAAAGGGTTAAGTCTCAGCGATATGAAGCAATCCAGGCCTCTGCAGAACTGAGGTAGATCCCTACCAGGGAGCTGACCCACATGGCACAGCAGACCTCTCCTGTCTCGCCTGCTGTTTCCCACAGCAGTGTTATTTGAGGGGATCTGCCTGGTGTGCTCCACACGCTGTCTCTGGTGTATCCTCTCAACTCCCCCCACACCCAATTTGTGGCCTACACTTCAGCTCTTGTATGCATAAATAAGTAAAGTAAATCTTTTTTAAAATGATGAAATTCTTGAAAGGAATGATTTACTGTGATAAAGGCACTTTTATTTCCATTTCTATCATGCTATCAAGTTCAAGCTTATGCTTAGATCTAATCAAATCACTTCTCCATTTCTCTGGTTTTTTTTTTTTATTTGTTTGTTTTGCTTTTTACTGCTGTTATTTTAGAGTAAAGCGTCATTTTATTAGTGGAAAGAAGTGAAGGAAAAATATCAATAAGCATTAGAAAAGGGAGGAGCGAGGGAAGAAGAACTCGGAACTTGCTGTCAGATCTGTATGATACTTCTGCTCAATGTGCAGATATGTCTGTTTCTGGGTAAACCACTAAGTCTGTGGGCTTTTTTTCTCATTTGCAAGGTTGGAGGGTGATGTTAGGTCAATGGTGGTGATGGGGATTCTTTGGATGAGTTCTCAGTGCACTTAGCTCTGTGTAAGGGCTTCACACAAACTTCAGCCAGAAAGCCAAACCTGGTTGCCACTTAAAAAAAAAACTATTTACACTTACAAGAATTGGGGTACAGGTGCAGGAGGTGAGAAGATTCACCAGAGACAGAGTGGAGAGTAGAAAAGGCAGATTGAATGAAATACACTGTTGAGGGGAGCAGCAGGCAAGACAGGAGAGGTCTGCCAAGCCATGTGGGTCACCTCCCTGGCAGGGGATCTAACTGGCTGTGGACAGCCTCCTAGTGCTGTGCTTTAATCCCTGCACCACCAGGGAGGGTCAAGTTGCTACCTTTTTTTATACCTGCCAGGTAAAGATGACTTTTACCCTTTAAAATATCTGAAAAAATTGAATATTTTTTGGAATTTGAAGATTATCTAAAATTCAAAATTTCATGTTTTATTGGCACAATTACTCACTTGCACATTACCTAAGAAAAGTTTCATGTCAAGCTGAGAACTCATGATCCACAAAATCAAAAATACTCATTATTTTGCCCTTTGCAGGAAAAGTTTGCCTTCACCTGCTCTATGTATGTTTAGTATAGACCTACTTATTTGGGGTTGACCCATCTCTTTCATATGAGGCGTGTACTCATCAGGTCTTTACAAATTGTTGTTAATAAAATATATGTTAATATATAATATTATAATCACATAAACTATTCATCTTCTTAGGCGAGACACTGATTTGCTAACCATTGAAATCCTGATCCTTTACATAGTGCTGGTATCTAGCTGGACACAGTATTCTTTCATCAGTGCCAAACAAATAATCGCAAACCTCTAAAAGGAATTTCTCATTTAGTACAAACTAAGTTGCTCATTTTATAATTTTGATTAAGAGAATATTTTAAAAACTTTTTCGATGACCAAAATTCTCCCACTTAATTTTGCAAATGCAAAGAAAAGAGAATTTTCAAACACTGAATCGTTTTTCTTCGTAAATAAAGCACATATTAAAAACGAAATGGCCTCAGCCTTTTACATCCGTGCGCCACGTTTTAAAAATGACGATTACTGGCGACCAAGGCAAGGTTGTCAGAAACATTCCGCGTAATTTAAGCACAGCGGGGGAAAAAAATACCAGCATGCGTGCCGACCAAAATGAGTGTGTAAGGAAAAAGTAAAATTTTGCATTCCGTGCAATGTGTCGAACGCGAACGTATTACACGTTGTGTTGCAGATTTACTACAGCTGAGTCATTTCGGGACACGAGTGTGTGTTTCCAGGAAACACGAGAGGAAGGAACCAGGCTGAGGGGCTCGCCGGGTTCCCCCAGGCACTCCCAGTAGCAGACACCGGTATTGCGCCGCTTTTCGCGGCGTGGTCAAAAAAGGCGTTACGGCCCCTTTAAGAGGCACAGCACCTTCTCCAAGATACCATCTTGCACCAGGAGTTCACGTACGCTCTCTACCTACCTTGCTATAGTCCTCCTTCTTAACTGGGTACGATCAGCCGGGCGGGGTGAGCGAGCCTTTTCATTGGCTTGGCGCGCACGGCCGTCTCTTTACTATTGGCTTTCTCACTCGCCACTCGGCGCTGTGTCCCGCCTTCTTGAGCCGTCAAGCTAGGTTGAGTGAGAGCTCTTGGGTTAGTTCCTGTTAGGCCCCGGCCGGGGGAGTAGGTTGAAGTCTCCTAAGATGCCCGGTGGGCTGGGGCACCCGGAGCTGTGAAGAGGGCGTCAGGAGGCGGTGAGGGGAGACACGCGGCTGGCCTGAAGAAGAGCGGCGGCCGAGCCCGCCTTCCCTGCACCATGCTTATAGAGGATGTGGATGCCCTCAAGTCCTGGCTGGCCAAGTTACTGGAGCCGATGTGAGTGAGCCGGGCTGGGCCGGGGCGGGCGAACGTGGGCGTTGGGGGCCCGCGGGGGCGTGGGGGGAGGGGAGGCGGCGTGGGGGAGGGCGGTGCTGAGGGGCGGCGGTCGGGAGGTCCCGGGACGTCTTCTCTGTAGTACTATCACCATTGTGGGGGTTGGGGGGGCAGGGAAGAGCTAGGGGCGTAGAGGCGGCGGTCGGGAGGTCCCGGCGACGTCTTCTCTGTAGTACTATCACCATTGTGGGGGTTGGGGGGGCAGGGAAGAGCTAGGGGCG